GAGCAACCAGGAGCAGACTGCAATATACTTTTGCTGACTCTGCTTCCCTCTGCCTGACCAGAAAGGTTCCAAGGTAAACATGGGTACCAGAACGGGAAAAAACTAAATCCCAGGTTCAGGTAAGTACTGCACATGTTATTTCTGCTTCTTTTTCTACCTGGTAAGGGAGAGATAACACCTTAAGACCACAGAAATCTCCCCTTGAGTATTCCTACCATCGCCTTCTCCAGCAAATGGGAGGAATGCTGTACCAGAGACAGGACCTCAGCAGCACCAACAGACCGGACAATTTTAAGTCCTTAGGAGTAGGCACATGGGATGGGGTGAAATGAGAATAGGTGCTGCACGTAGGCAAGGGACATTTCTGTTGGAATCTGCATTAGGGAATTTGCTAGAAAGAAGCCTGTTCATGGCCACAGCAATGCTGGACATGCAGCACCCATTTATTGGTGTTCTAACCAGCCTACTGATCCTCCTCACGGATAACAGGCGATGCAACAGACTGTAAACAAGTACTTCATATCTAACTTCAAGGCCTGTTCTTGCTATGAAGGACATGAGATTGAGAAACTGGGCCTGTAAGGGCCCTAAACTCATCAGTACAGATCAAGATAAGAGCACATGACTGATAGGACATTGTAGAATTTCCCAAACTTGAGCAGCAGTGTTATGGGAGTGGATGAAAGACATCTGAAGAAAAACAGTTGTCCTGAGAGATCTTTCTGAACAAAGAGAAAAATGTTCCCAGTTCTGGGGAATAAAGGGAATGGGAGGTATTAAAACTGGAAGTCTGCCACTTTCACCAAACTCACTACTCCAGATGAGAAGATCCTCACTGCCCAATTCATGGAGTCAATCACAATTCAAGCTGATCAGCTCAAACTCCATCTTTTGCACAAGACTCTGCTGATTCACTCAAACACTGCTCATCTTCCTTCCTGTTCCTATCATCCATCTTACTCACACAGCAGGACAGATGATCTAACTGGAAGAGCCAGCTCACCTTACTGACGCCAGAAGCCACAGAGTGCATCCAACAACCATGCATCACCAGTGCTGAACAGGGGTATTTTATAAACTGCCCACTCATCACAATGCATTAATTTCCTTGGGAAGGGATGGTGGTAAGACCCCCAAGGCAGCACTACCCATCTGGAGAACTCTTGATTCTGATTAGTAAGAAACACACTGAGTACAAAGACTAGGAAGGTTAGTTTATAATATTGGGAAAGCTCTAGGTTTGAAAGCAGATGTTGAAGTTGTGTGGAAATCATTCCTTGGACTCCATATTTCTGGGCTTCCTGGGTGTTGACTTCAAAGCATAAGAACTATTTTTCTTCCCAGAAAGGAAGGGAAATCAACAGTAACTGTCAGCAAGCTGACACTAAAGTTTACACAGGCCAATCAGTCTGTTTTCTTCCTGTGTAAGTGCTAATGCCTATCCCAAAACCCAGTGATAATTTCAAAGATTGGGCTGCAGTATTTATCCTGCACACACAGTTAATGAGGTCACTTGGAAACACTGACGTTTCACATACCTGCTATCAGTGATGATCAGTGACAACAGACTCTCCTGGGCTGCCCTCATCTACACCTCTCTCCACTAAGCTTTGGAGGTAATGAAACAGCATTTGGAATGCTGCCTTGAGAGGAGCAGCCACCCCCATTCCACCTCAAGCACAACATCAACAGCCTAGGGAGTGCCTCCACTGTAGTGCCCGAGATGCGTCTGGTGTTCCACAGCACCCCAGCCTGCGCTCACCATCTGCACAGATGGCAGCTTCTCTTCACTGAGCTGTGCTGCTGTTAGCTTGGAGAATCTGTGCTGGGAGAGCAGCACTAGTATTCTTCACAGTTTTAAAGCAGAGTAACATCTTGCACTATGTCCTATTCCAGTAACGGAGACACAAATCTCTACAGCTTGCAGGCTGCTGCTCTGGTCCTATATAAGCAATTTCAAGAAGCAGAAGCTACAGTCAATAAAAACACCAGTACAGTAACAAATGAAGGCAAACAAACAAAACCAAACCCCAGGGTTATGTATTTATGAGTTATTTTTAGACCAGAAATTAAGCCACCTCTGCAGAAATGATTGTGAAAGCTAAGTCAGAAGGTCACTCTTCTGTTTTTGCAGCGATGAGACACGTAATTGTGGCTGGGTGGAACGACACAAGGCCTGCACCATTTTAAGAGCTTCTAAAACAGACCCCCATGTGTCAATTGAAAATCTTAGTTGTCATCATCACAGTAACAACAGCCTTGATTTTCAATGTGCTGGTCTGCGAAAAAGGTTTCCCCTCCTGCTATTCACTTTGATTTTAAAAAAATTCTCACATTGTACATGAACTAGGATTAATAGAAACCTGAACTTAAGCAGCACAAAGTTACCAAATGCCTGCCTATGTTAAGCCCACAGTACCAGTAAAGGGCCTCTTCCCCTCACTCTGCTTCAACACAACCAAATTCTGTCCTGAAAAAAAACTCATAAAGAGATCACCTATTCCATCAGTCATGAGTGCCTACAGGCTGCAAAAGACAAAAGCCTGAGTGCCAGAAAAAAAACCCCACACCTCTTTCTATTTTGTAGAATGAAATAAGCACATGCTTGAGAGGACTTTCCAAGCAAGTGGGTTCTGCCCACCCATAGTCACCATTCTGAAGCAATGGGAAAGCCCCAGCAGAGAGGCAAGCCACCTGCAGGAGATCTAGACGCTGGGCAGGGGCATCAGTTGTGCTTTTTATTCAAGTGCCTTTACTTGCAGAAATAAAAGAACAGGGAAAAGGATGAAATCCTGATATTTGTGGGGCCCAGTGTTTGATTCACATATGACTTCAAGCAGCCCAGTAATTTTGTGACCACCTCAATGGTAAAGTTGAAGGATTCAATCACAGACTAAGCATAATCTCAAAATGGACAGGGGTCACTACACACAGAATTTTTACCTGCCCTTCTTTAGTATGGCCCACAGCCCATATACCAATGCCATCTGCATACCATCACAAAACATCCCACTTCCCAGACAGACCTTAAGTACTCAAAAAATAGCAAAGTCATTTTCTCCTTCCCCATGCCCCAAAGCACAGCATGGAATTCCAGTTACTCACCTTAGTGTTTCACTAGGTTCAACTGCAACATTCCAACAGCCTCTGATCCATGTAACTTGCCATGTGCTGTAAGAGATATCTCCCTCTGCTCAGAGCAAACTAAATATAGTAATTCAACTCCTTAGTGCAGCCCTCTGTATACAAGCTCCAAGAAGGGATGTTTGGGATTTAGAAGCCTTCTTACGGTGTCAGAAGTTTTTCATATACAGGTTTGTATAGATCTACTTGTTGGGTCTTACAGTCAAATGAAAAATAGTGCTATGTTGGGGTTTTCTTTACACTGTTTTCTCATAATAAACACTAAGCTGGGCTACTACAAAAGAAAAAAAACATCTGCATAAGTGTCACATCCATTTCACAGGTCATTTCCCACAGCATCTGCTCAAGTGAAGTTTTCCCACAACAAGCAAACTGAGCAAACATCTGGATGGACAGAGGAAGCCAGGCATTAATTGTCATTACAACCTCTAGTTTCTAGAGAAATACAATACAAGCTTAAATTTCAAGGGTATCGATGCCAACTTTATACACCCTGGAAGAAGTTTCTATCATACAAAATTTCTCCCTGCAGTTGTAGATCCAAGCCCTGGAGAGAACAAATATTGTAGACACCTATATCAGAGCTCAGTATTAGAGTATCAACTTTGAAATCAAAACTAACTATTCCCAGCATCTCATTAGTGGACCATCTCCTGTGGAAATGAGGTTACTGGCAATTTAGCTCACAGTTCTGAACAGTATTTGATTTCCACTTTGAGGACAGAAAATTATAAGACTTTAACAGGTGAAGAACAAACATGTTTTCTGCTTTCAGAGTTGCAGAAAAACAGTAAGAATACTTCAAGAGTGAGATGAACGCTCCAACTGGAGTAAAGTTCTGCTTAGAGCAGTTGCAGTACCTTGGAAAAAAAAAAAAAAGAAAAAAAAATGAAGTTTGACCATTATGATTTACATCTGCAAAGACTTAAAACATAGTTCTGCCTCAGTCTCAAAAAAAGGTGACATTAAGTGACTCTACTGCCTAAAAATAAAGGCCACGAAGTACTTCGAGTCTCTAAAAAAACCTGTAAAACAGATGATGCTGTACAGATTTTTGCCAGCTTTCAGTAAGATAGGTACTTCCCTCCATTTACTGCCCATGCCACATACATGCTCCACTTTTAGGCATACGAGTCTACAGATACTTTAGTGCTGTTACTGAATTCCAAAGTGTTTGCAAGATGTGGCCTCTATTTTTAAGGCTCTGCTAAAATTCAGTGGTTCTTGAAGATTTATCACCAAATAATAAAACCAGCTGGTAACCAAGCAGACTTTGTCATTTGACTGCTGGCCAATTAGAGTTAGTAAAAAATAAAGGTATTACTACAGCAGTTCCGCTTTTCTCATACTTGGCAGCTGTTAAACGCTGTGTTACTGCAGGAGTGTTGCATTCAAGCTTTCTACATACAAATTCTCCATCTCCAACCATGGTGGCTTCAATTAACACTATGCTTCTTATTCAGAGAAAAAATCAAGTTCTGGATTTTTTTTTTAACACAGACTGAAGGACAGTATGCAACAGATGCTGCCTGTCAGCGTCATGGGAACAACAGCAAACCTGTACCCACGAGTGACCCTGAACCAGTGCTGCCAGAGTGCAGCAGTCTGGAACAGTGCTGGTAGGCTCTCACTTTCAGGGACACAGACCCTGTGCTTGCTGATCACTCGGCAATTTCTATTTCCTTTCAGTTTTTAGTAGATGTTGTCACACAAACACACCTTGTTCCCTGACAGTTTGGAACGCACTAGTAGAGGGAGAGCCCTGTCCTCCCTGCTCAGAGCTGGATTTTACTGTTTCTTCCCTTCTAAGACTGCTGTAGAAGCTGTAGAAGTTCAAGAAAGATGCCACTTTCGCATTCCATTTGAAAATTATTTTAATACTATAAAATTCATTTGTTCACATATTTTTGTACAAAAGATGAGTTGTTTTTTCTTAATTACAGGAGAATCATTTCAACCTTGAGATTTCAGCTAAGTAGGTCCAAAACAAAACAAGACTGGGTTCTACTGGTCTGGAGGGTCCCAATACAGCTCACCCAAGATCTCTTTCCAGTTTGGCTCTCACGGTTATGGACCACCTCGATGGAAAATACTCCACATCATTGACTCTTCGGAGGCTTGTAGTGAATTCGGCAACGCTCATTAAATACCTGAGACACCAAAACAGAAGAGCAAAAGCGAATCAACCCTCATCCAGGAGATGAGCAGAACTTCAGAGCCAGTTCAGGCAACTCTCTCTTCACGTAGCACCCATCTCAAGGTGCCCAGCCCTGCTGTACCAATAAATGGTACTTACCAAGGCATGTGTCTCCATTCACCTTCTCACCTGGCTTTAGTGAATCCAAAGTTTGCAGCCTGATGCTGGGGAACTGCACAGCACTAAAAGTGTTCTCCCTCAGATGAGGCAGGCTCATAATCCTGGTAGTCTGTTATCATAGATGCTGATGGTTGGTTTGGTTTTGTTTTTTAAAGAGGGAGGGAAATTATCAGTGGAAGGCTCCTGACTGACTGTGTTCTGTTAAATTCAAGCTGGCACTCAAGTTTGGACACTATCTTTCTCTTTCCTGAGCAAATGCATTTTACACTGTCATGACAGCTAAAAACATGTGCAAGGGCTCTTGGAAGCCACGTTCACACTTTTGGGTACCTGACTGCAGGTGCTGATGCTGCCAGACCTCTTACTGCAAAGGGCACGCTGCTCTCACCTCACTCACCTCTGGCACCTCCTCTGGGTAAAACCTGGCACGCAGAACCAGAGACTGAAGACCGGGTTTGCTTAGCTTGCACTGCAGGCCTTGTCCAGCAGACTGCTTACCTTAAGGAGGGCCAATAAATGTGGCAACTCACAGCAAGGCAGTCTGAATGGAAAGCACAACACACAGGCTGACACCAGAGTTACAGGTGCTCTCTACAAGCCTTTCAGTTATTTATCCCTTCGGCTCCCAACTCTCTCCAGCACACTCCTGAAAAGTGACACCAGCACCACCTAGCACCAAGCTGAGGCACTGGCAGTCATTCCTTCCCCCACCAGCACTCCTGCAAGAGCACGTCTGGCCAAGCTGTCCGAGGACTTCTCAGATCCACATCCTGTGATCTTCAGGATGTCGGGTTTTGTGACACCTCTCCTGCTGATGTCACAGGCAAAGCCAGTGGTCATGTAATTTTGGGGGAGTTAAGCATCACTTTATGGGAATATGTTATTTTAAACCATATCCTCCTAGAATCTTCTATAGCTCATCTCCTTACTCAGAGTTCAGAACCTATGGCAACTTCAGCATAAGTTATGTTTGCAGCATGCATTAGTTGCAGCATTGACTCTTAACAATTTTTGAGTCATTTTCAACTTATTTTTCAGATTTAATTCACTTTAAGAAACAGACGTGTAGAAGAAACTGCTTCATATTGCAGGAGACAAAATTTGTGATACGGTTTTTCACACACAGCCTATGGCATGCACTGACACAAGAGTTCAGAGTATGCAGAGGTCTGAAAACAGACAAGTGATAGAAAGAAACGATAGAAATTAAGAGCCACAAAGGGTTCCTATTCAAAAGCATTTTAATACTAAGCAAACTACACCCGTTGGATCCATTGCCTGTCAAAAGACATTTTAAGGGCATTATATGTCTTAAAGGGTACTGGAAATACACTAAAAGGGTCTCTTGCATCAAACAACAGAACAAATAATTGCAGCTTCCAGCTTCCTATCACAGAAACTTTTAAAGCATCTTTAACAGTGCTTCTGCAGGACACAAGATCTTACTAAAACTGCCTCCCACTTTTAGGATCATTGACCCACAGACCTCAGTGTGTTACTCAAGCCAACTCACTTCATTCGTCTGTCTACCCATAAAGTGCTACTCTAATTTTTCAGACAGGAAAAACAGTGCCTGAGAAACCTTAACATTCTTGTTACTATGATGAAGTTTTGCTGTCTTTTACATATTCATACAAAGCATTCCAACAATAAACTCCACTGTGGAAGTGCTGTATAGAGACTGATGCAAGTGCCCTGTTTTGGCAGTCAATTCCTTGTTTGGTATCAGTCAAACAGAATTCCACAGGACACATTTCTATAAAGCATCATCTTTGTGTCTGCCACTCTTAGAATCATAGAATCATTTAGGTTGGAAGGGACCTCCAAGATCATCAAGTCCAACCACCGAGCCACCAGGGCTCCAAAGTCCTCTGCTAAAACAGATCAGAATCTGTCAGGGTTGGAAGGGACCACAAGGATCACCCAGTTCCAACCCCTCTGCCATAAGCAGGGATACCTCCCACTAGACCAGGCTGCCCAGAGCCTCATCCAGCCTGGCCTTAAAGACCCCCAGGGATGGGGCCTCAACCACCACCCTGGGCAACCCATTCTTGCTACCACTACCCAGAGTAAATGTTTGAAAATAACTGTTCCCTCATTAGATTTTTCCAATCAGTTTTCAGTTGGTTAGGGCTAACGTAAGTAGAATGTGTACTCTCCAAGTAAAAATCTCCAACAGTGAAAAAAGAGTGGAGATCCTTCAGCTACAGGAAATCACTGGCATTGGTGCTAAATCTGCTGCCAACTCTGGGCTTCAGAATGAAGATGGGGGTGAGTTCTGTCCTCCTATAGCAGAGTTGCCACAAAATATTTGCCACTGGTGGCCTGCAGCATGTTGTTAAGGCTGTGGCATTGCTTAGTTATGTCAGCTGGTTTAAAATTAATTAAGCTTAAGGGCACGATTAGCTTTTTCAGACAGCACCATAGGTAGTACTGAGAGCAGAGCATTTGTAGAAAACCACGTAAATGCTCATCTAATCAGCTTGCACTGAGCTGTATCGTGGTGACAAGACCTCCAAGAATACACAAGACTGAAAGCTGTACTGCCTTTACACTGATGCAGTCCCAGGGACTTAAAAACCTGAAGTAGAGATTAAAAAGGGAGCTGCAGCTAGTACTCACTATTTGCAAAAGTACTTTTTGCATTTGCTCTCTACACAGTATTGAAAGCTCTGTAAAGCTACAACAGACCAGAAAAGGGTGTCAGACGTGAGATAGTGTGGTGACAGAATGCAGCCAACTCAGGAAATACGCCGGGTGTCAAGATCCCTTTATTAACAAGACATCACCTGAGGTGGTCAATCCAGAGGGTGATCAGCCCTCTCTGTTGACTCAGGAGAGCACTAGCAAGCCTGCCCTTGGCACCAGGGACCCGCAGAAGCTCCATCAGGAAAAGGTTCAGCTTCTACAGCCCGCCCCTCCTCTGGCCTCTGCCCAGAAGCAGGGTCAGTACCAAACACGGCCGAATCGTAAAGACTCGTCTCTCTGACACTGTCAGCAGCCCAGCAAAGCTTTTCAGACAGACCATCACAGAACAGTCTACAAAGTCCTTAGCCACTGGGCAAGGCAGAGAAAGGGATCTACACAGGGAGTACTCCACAGTCCTTCCTCCTCCCTAAATCAGATGCGTTTCTTTCCCGGGCAGTGCAATGGACAAGCTTTGATCTCTGCATCCAGATCTGGGGAAATGACTTAGCTGAAACATTTCCCCCAGCACTGCCCTCACCTATTTCTGATTAACCTACCTCAAAAGGCACCAGTCCCACACTCCTAGTGCAGGACTGTCTGTTGGGACAGAGTATCATTACTATTTTAAATGACTGAGTACCTTCCAGCTTCTGTCGTTTACCACTTCTTCAACATTCAGCTCCGACTGCATCAATTTCAACTGCAGAAAATGACAGATAAAGAGGTTATTAGCAAACAGGCCTCCCTCTTTCAGGTTTCAGGTTTACAGAGATGCAAAAGCTGTGGGAAGAATTACCACCACACACTGTCCCTCAGCACTTGGTTCATTCCATGAGAAATGCTACAGTCTCCCCATTTCCCACCTATTAGAAACTCCAAGGGGCAAGTATGACTGTTGTGCTCAGGTGACCTGCAGTAATTCGACCCTGCCACAAGGTCTGGAAGCAACAGGAGGAGATGTAAAAATCACCTGCCATTTTTGCCTACGTTTAGGATGTACTTTTGTTGGAATCTTTAACACAACAGACTAAGGATCAGAGTTTATTTTAAATACAGAGTTCCAATTAGAGAGTTGAACAGGTGCAAGCCAAGACAGCAATCCCAGCAAAAACCTTCCAAGAAAGATATGCAGACACACACAGCTACTATGTTGGATAGACTTCCACCTACTCAACAGGACTTTAAACTGTTTGAAATAACAATCCAGCATCCACAGAGTGACTAGATGACCAGGATTAGTCTCTATAAAATAGCCACTCAGGAGATCAGCAGCAGTTCAAAGAAAGGTTTTTCTGGCTGGAGGATATGAATAGGTTTACAATTGTCTGGATTATCATATTAATTGTCTTTGACATGAAGCCTAAGCAAAACTACTATTTTAGCCTTTTCCTTAGAGCTGCATATCTGAACAGCAATATAGAGTCAAATAACATGGCTATATAGGGGTGGTGGTGGTTGTTTTTAAAATACTCTGACATTTTAACAAGCATTACTAATTCACTTGATAAAGATAATAATCAGTATGCTGTATGTTTTGGGTTTCCAGAACTTATTTGGTTGAATATTTTATGAAACTTCATTCAAGTAAACTAAGATGATAGCAAATTAATAGAATAATCAAGTGATATTTTAACAAAACTGAATTAAACAAATAGGGTGCTAGACTGAAGCTACTCCAAGTTTTCTTACTCGGTGGCCCGGAAATAATATTTTTTTATTAAGTGCTCCAATTTGTACCATTAACAGGATGAGAGAAACACAAATAGTAAGAGAAAACAGATCTGTATTGCAAGCAAGTGAATATACATTTGAAATGCATAACCTTAAATGCAGGATGTGTTCTGTCAAGATGGCTTATTTGAGATGGAGAAAAAACACAACTCACAGAGAGACAAATAAAGGAAAAAAAAGAGCAGGTGCCTATAACTGATAAAGCCCAAGTGCAAATTTGAGGTCATCTCATCAGAAGAATCCTGGGATGTTTCCAAATAATGGCTTGCTTTTAATATTCAAGATCATCCACAATTATTAAATAATTATTAAATTATTATTGTGATCCTTCAAGTGGTTCCAGGGATAGGTTTTGGGCTCAGCAATGTAACAATTTAAAGAACTGGCTTTGCAAACAAAACATGTAGAAAACTCTAAGCTACATTCTAATTTTACAGATTAACATGGATGCTTCTTAGCAGTTCTGTAAGTCAAGCTTTAAGAATAAAACCACTTGCCAGCCACCTGGTTCTTTAAATCTGAGCTCACGACAGAGCACTTCTCTGAAAAGCACATGAACAGTTCACTCACCCAGCGCCTGGGAAAAATGAGATTTTTGAGTTCAAATCATCCCCTCAGGAAGCTCTTTTACTACAACTGCATCAGCATCCACCTGCTGTTTGAAACAGGGGCTACAGCAGGCTCCTCTTGGAAGCACAGTGGTGAGTGGATTTTTGAGGCAGTTTGGCACTGCAAAAGCATAATTTCAAGGCCTATTTCTTCAGGTGTTAGAGTACTGCAGCAGGGAAAGCTGCACCCAGGAAGTGGGAGCACAGAGACACGTACATGAACAAGTGCGTGTGATGGGGGGACACCTGGCTCTCAGGAGCAGGACTCGCCGTTACACTGGCAAGTCCCAGGCAGCGTTTCAGGAACCCTGGTTAGCACACTCCTCGGCAGAGGAAGGCTCCCTGTGCTGCTGGGCACCGCAGACACACCCAGCCAGTGTATGCAAAAAAACCCAACAAGCAGCTTTATTTGGCATGTGCTGTGAGCACACGGTGTGGGAAAAAAAAGGAAAGTGAACATGAGCTGTATGGAGCAGGTCTGGAAGAGAAATCGATGGAACGGTTCACACTTCTGCTCCTCCACTCCTGGAGCTACACGTGCAGAGGGAGGCCTGGAATGGGGGCAAGAGTTTCAGTGGAGTTCCCTTCCCCACTTCTGACACTCTGTCTAGATCACCTCTGGTCATGTATAGTTTCCATCCAGAGGCCAGAAGGTCGAGGGGGTGTTTGCACATTAAAACTCCTTAGGCAAACCCAGAAGTCTCTCTCATGCCATCGCAAAGTACTCAAAAAATTAATCTGAGAAATACTAAACAACAAAAAAATTGATGAAGTGGAAATCAAGGTTGCCTGGCAGCTCCGTGAAGGGGAGAGGATTTTCAATGAACTCTGAGTAAGAATGATGCTTCTCAAGGTGATGATGAAGATGGAAAACTTGAAGGCTGCCTAACTGTGTGGTGCAAGAGACCCAGAAAAGCTACATTTCATTATCTTCTGGTGTTTGCATCTTGGCACCCGTACTTGCCACTTGCAGATATACTGGTTTTACAAGACCTCAAAAAAGCAAAATAAACCTTCAAGCATTTACCTGGTACTAAGCAAGTCCCAGGTAAGCTGTATGTGAAGTGGTGTTAGTAAAGGTTAGAGTCCACCGTGGGGATGTACGCATGGTTTTCTACAGCATTTGTGTAACAGGATCTCAGAAAATGTTTCACTTGCAGCATAAAAGCCACCTCTGATTGAGGGCTAGGGGAGATGGCTCTCACAAACCAAACCAAAAAGAACCTCGGGAAAGACTGCCTGAGTCAGGACCCACTTCAGGTTCTACCCATCACACTAGTCTTTCCATTTAGGAAAGATACCCTCTTCTTCCTCTCTAAGTGACCTCTAAAAAATCTCCACCACTCACCTTTGTCTGCTCTTTCCTGAGTTGCTTTAATAATGCTACGTCCTCCTGGGCCTTTTCCCTCTCTTCTCTGAGAGCTTTCACTACACTGGAAGTCTGAGCGATGCAGTTTTTGATGATTCTCTCTCTGCTGGTATGAGCATCCATCAGCTAAGTGGGGAGAGAAAGAAAGTCACAACAGCTCATCAGAGAACAAACCCCTCTGAGTTACAAGTTACAAGAGAGACTTTCTGATGCCAAGGTATTGCTGTGCCTATAGAAATCCCTTTGATTCTACCATCCACACCTCAGAAGCAACGCCGCCGTGAGCAGCAGCTACCACCTTGATCGCAAGTCAGAGGCACACACGAGCAGGAGCTGTGTGAGGCAGCACGTAGGCAGAGCACTAGCACCAACATTTTGAAAAGAAAGAGGTGGACAGGGCAGCCTGCAGCGCACCTCAAGGGATCAGTCCTGCGGGACAAGCAAGTTCCCCACGTGGCTTTAAACGGACGCAGCGTTACACGCGCGCGGCTGAGCCGCGGGAGAAGCCCCGTTAGGGCCAGAGAGCACCCAACGCGTCCCGGCGGAGGTCTCCTGAGCAGCTGAGGATGCTTTATGGCCACCGCACACCATCGGACGTCAGGAGCGGAGCTGAAAGCTGGAGGAGCACACACTCACGGAGTGGTACAGCTCTTTACACGTCTGGCTGGCATCAACCTTCCCCACGAAGGAAGCTGTTGGAATCGTAGTGTTTAACTCGTGGACGATTCTGTCGTCGATTGTCCTCATCACCCTGAGCAACTCCTGTATTAAAAAAATAATGTTTGCCTATACTTCTGAAAAAAGCCTACCAAAAATTAGAAAGTTTTGTATGATTCTTCCAATGGAAAACTGAGTGGACTGCTTACAAACAGCACAGAGTGAACCATTTCAGCGTGCAGGAGGACGAGCTGTGAACCAAGGAGTTCCCTGAGTGGTGAAGGCCAGAGACAGGGACAGACCCGGCCCCGAGAGCCCCCGGTTCCGTCCGGAAACCCGCCCGTGCTACCGGCAGCCCGGAAAGCCGCTTCCGAGGCCTCGGTAGCGCTTCCAGGCGGGACACTAGGATCGAAACGGCAAACTTCGAATGAAAAAACGCCTTTTTTTGGGGGGGTGGAGTATACACGGCGGTTAAGAGACAGGCCGGATGCCAGCACCGCCGCCCCGGGCCC